AAAAAAAAAAAAAAAAAAAAAAAAAAAAAAAAAGACTATGAAAAGCATTACAAGGACAAGGAGAAAAATTTTAATATGGACTATTTATTAGGTAATATCATTATATCATTTATTAAATATAAATATTCAGATACAACAAATATAATTTATAAAACTTGGAGAATACATAATTACATATTAAAAGATAAAAGTTCCTTTTCAAAAAATATCTAATATGGATAAAGCACTGCAAACATGTACTAAATCAAAATAAAAAAGAAAGATACAAAAGATTACAAAGATACAATAAAGATACTGGAATATAAGCATTGATTATTTTATTCTGTGCACATTTCAGTATTTTACTCTGTAAGACAAATTCGAGGGCAGATTGAGAACATATTTGAGTTAAATTAGTGCAAAGTAGGCTTGAAAAGTAACCCAGTCATCGAAGTTACCCAAGTTTTCTAAGCACGACAGGTTGCAGTTATGTCCTGACAGTGGGAGCACCAAGAGGTAATCAGAGTAGGAAAGTAAAGATCTCACCTGAAAATCTACATTTCCTTGGTAAATTAGATTTCAGAGATGAATATTACTTATGTTTACAATGCTCTAGGACAAAAAAAAAGTCCGAAACAAAGTAGTCAAACTGTAATGCAATGGGGACGAACACTCTTGCTGGTCTCCATCCTCGGGACTGAACACCTCCCCTTCCTTCGAGCTAAGTTTAGAGAAGTAGAAAAGAAAAATGGCAATGACTACAGACTCCACTTTGGTTGTGTCCACTGAAGAAGAATCTACTTGTGAATTACAGTCTCCTGGAGAAGCTACCATCAAACCATAAAGGGTGGAAGATGGGTGTGGTGAGGACACAGGAGTTCAAGGGGAAGAGGAGGAGGTGCTTGAGTGATAGGCGGCCCCACCCGGGACACCATTCATGCTCAATGGAATGCTCTTGTTCAGAGTCCTGGGCGGCGAGGCCCAGGCCCCTGAATGGACGGCAGCAGCAGGCGCACTTCTCAGCTTTCCGTTTGGGGTAGGCTCTGTTTCCTCCTCCGCACCACATCTACCTGGCTTGCTTTTCATTTCTGGAAACCTAAAGGAAAATTTTCCCCATACCTTTTTCACCGTTGTTAGGAAAACTCTGAAAATGAAGAGGACTGTACATTCGATCTTTCTTATACACCCTGTGACAGACCCAGGGCACACAATGGTGCGGCAAAGACTCCTTCAAGATAACTTTGTGGGGATTGGGGGGCTGGGGGTGCAGGCTCGTTCCCTTGACAATGTCAACTCTTTGGGGACAAAGAAGAAAAATACAAAAAGTGCTGTGTGACCTACTAAAATTAAATGCGATGTACAATAAATTAAAATCTATTGCTTTTATATTCACTGACTAACAATAATTGTGTTATTTTTTGTGATCAAGGAAGATATACACCAAATGACTGGTGTTTGCTTTTTATGATTTGTTTCTTAGATTTGGGATATGAAAAACTAAGAAATAAAAAAATCTATCAATAAAATAACAAGTGGCGAGACCCACGATTCATCAGAAAGGATTATAGGTTCTCCTACCCCCACAAATCTTTGATCCCTATTGCGCACTATGAAAGGATGAATATGCAAATCTTCAGAAAAGGATTTTTTTCTACAATTCTAAGCCTAGTTCATACCTGTTTCTCTGCCTTTGAGGGTGCAATCAACAGGACTGAAAGAAAAAAACACAGAGAAGAATGAACACAACCCTAAAATAAGCCTGGTTACTTACTGACTTTTTTATGGCCTTATGTGTAGATTTAGAATTTTGATTATCAATTTGCCCTCAGCCTATACTACAATTTAAAGACAAAAACCTGTAAAAATTTTATTTCCCTGAACGTTTTAGTTGTCTATTTTATGCATTGACTTATTTGAGTGCTAAAAGGGAATAATGGAGCACCCTCTGTGGTTGGTGACATTCTACAATGTGAGCAAGGTAGACTTTCACAAAAAAAAAAAAAAAAAAAAAAAAAAGCTGGGCATGGTGGCTCAGGCCGGTATTCCCATCACTCCAGGATACTGAGGCAGGAGGATGGCAGATTGAGCCTACCCTGGAAAAAACAGTGACTTAGCAAGACTCTGTCTCAAAATAAAAAATTTAAAAGGTCTGGGGATGAAGCACAGTGCAAAGATCTCAGGTTAAAAACCCCAATACTAAGAAAAAGAAAAAAAAAGGGTAAATCTGTAAGGACTGACCCCCACAGACAATGGGGAGATTTGAAAATTTATTTTTGTAAGTTAAAATGGTAAATAATTTTAGGAAATAGAAATCAATATCTATTTCAGTTATGCCAATGGAACAGAATCTAGATTTCTGTAACCAGCTACTATTGCTATTTTTAATTTCTATCTCATTAAAGCTGAATATTGATTTTTTTAAGTGGGGCAATTTGACATTTTCCCCACATGCAGATCTCTGCACATAGGATAAAGACACATTCAAACTGCACAGCTCGTGAGAGTCAAATAAATAAATGCATTTGAAAAATGACTGTATTTATAAAACTGGCCTCTGACAGTGGGGTTCAAGATAATAGGGGCGATTTCTAGGTGTACATTTGGAGTGATCCACAAATACATGCAGCAGTCTAGATGGAGAGTTTGGTTAGAGACCCAGGATATGATCAGGTTTATCTTATTGATGTTGAACTTCATTTTCTAGTTGGGTTTTCGCTGTGGGCTCAGATTCATGGAGAGTCTTGGGGGAAGGGAGAATTCTTTCAGTTAACCCGATATGAAGATCTGCAATGCACTCATCATCTTAATGAACAGTCATCTGCTGATCCTGGACCTCCTCCTCAGCAGAGGCCTGGGCACATGTCCCTCAGTTGTGGCTATTCAGGGAGCAGATGGTAAGAGGGTTTGTATTTGTCCCTTCATTTGGGAGGCAAGGGGAAAAGATAGGCCTGAGTGCATCTTGGAAAGAAACTGGAGGAAAACTGTAGATGAGGGACTTGTCTGTCACATTGTAAAATGCTATATGTCCACATTCATAGTCCAAGAAGACGCCAACCTTATGCACAGGCTCTTGGACACGCTGCCCTTTCAGAGGTGATGAGACCCGCAGACTATAATCCTCTCCAATTTTTAACCCTATAAGTGAGAAGAGGTCTCCAGGGGGTTTGGGGAGATTCCCCTTTCTGCTCACAGAGTCCTTACAGATGCCCACTTCCCACTCTGTCTTGTTTCCCACTTCCACCTCCCAATAGTGTCTCCCACTGGTGAAGATCTGAGCTCCCAACACAGTCGCGGACTGGTCAAATCTTTCTGGGTTGTCAGGTAACTGCTGTCTGCTTCCTCCATATCTCACTTTTCAGATCCTGAGTCAAGAGGAGATACGCGTTGGCTGTTTCTGGATCCAGAGTGATCTCTGCTGCAAAAGGAGAAAAGCGTGAATCCTCTTTATATACTCTTGGGAATCCTCATAAATATTTATATATGGAATTTAAACTAAGTTCTTGGCATTTGGTCCAATTCTTTAAATGTAACTTAGATGAGTTGTTATGGGGGAAAGGGTGAGTTTTATTTTGAACAGAATCTCTGAGCTTATTGTGCACTGTTCCACAAAACAATGAGTGAACCTCTAACCAGAAGCAGAAAAGAGTTGTGTGGTGAATGATATTTGGTCAGCCTGAGAGGAAGAGAAGAATCTCTACTAGTGCCATGTGAGTTGTTGTGTTTTCAAGGCATTTTTAGAACTCAGGGCTATTTACCTACAGAGGCTTATCCTTTGCTGATGGTGTTCATGTTAGACACGACTGGCTCTGATTCTTCTGTTTGGATGGGAAAATATAGGGACACATCATTTCTGTGCTCCTCCCAATGTGCCAAGCATTCAGTAGGCATCATCTATTTTAATTGTTCCAAGTTTTACTTTCTCCAATTTATATAAATAAGAAAACAGAGGTTCTTAAAGATTGGGAAACTTCGTCAAGATTACAAAATTATGGGGTATTTGAATAGTGGTTCCTAACCTATATTTTTCATTATGCCTTGCTAAAATATAGCTCCATAAGCACTCGTGGAATTCCTGGTGACAATCCGTCAAAGCACACTGTAAGCCAGTGGGAAGCCTCCTCTCCTGTCCTCTTGGGAGGATGCCACATGAGAAGCCACCAACTTTCACTTAGTCTCCAGATAAGACTAGGTGCACCATCACAAAAATTCATACTTTTACTTATAAACCAAACCCCAACCATCGCTAATTATCTGTGTGGCTGTCTGTCCTCTTAATTTTATTGAAAATCCTATGAAAGTATAGACATTTTCTTTTCAGTCATATTCATTTTTGTAAGTAGGTTCACACCCCATAATATAACACTGGGCACATAGTAGACATTTACCAAATATTTCTTACCTCCAAAGCTCACTCAGCTTTCCTTTGAATGCTGATTGTCCTCAAGATGAAAGCTGAGGACCAATATTGACCTATCTTGGCCTTAGCCAGTCTAAATATCTGGAGCCTTCTCCAGGGACAGTGTTTGACTGTTCCCTTGCTGCACCTCAGAGCAAGTCAGCTTTCATCCTAACAGGAACAGAGCTCAAAATGCAGACACCTCTGCATGAGAATTGAGTGTACAAGTTTAAGGCTGCACATCACGCACACACACACACACACACACACACACACACACACCAAGGTCCAGGCCTTCTTAGGCAGAAAACAAGCTAGATAGAACATTAATCCAGTGTCACTGCTTTTGCCCAACACTATCTGTGACCCCAGTGTGGTGTTTACTGCTGGTTCCTGATACTTAGTGTCAGCAGGTGAATAACCATGTCAGATGACACTGCCCAGAAGCTCATTTATTCATCCCTGAGTGTACACTAAGGTTAACATGGGAAATTTCTGTAGGTTTGGCACATCAGGTTGACTTACTGCTGAATTTTCTTAACATCTCCCTCATTCCAGTGACGCGGCACTGACTCAGTTGTGTGGTGGTGGCTTCTGGACATTGAAGCAGCCGTGACTCGCTCCTGTAAGACAGCAGAGATCCTCAGTCTCTCCTGGGGACAGACCATGTGACACAGTCCAGTCTGAGATTCCATCTCATTCCACCCAACTGCATAAACAGTCTCATCGCCATCTCATAATCTTCTGTGGGTGTCGGGTCCCCACATCTTACACAACTGGACATAGAATGAAACCTACCTTTCCAGGGCTCCTCTTACTTCCGAGGGATATAAAAGAAAGAAGGTCAGCTTTTGTCCATCTCAATTACATATGTCTAAGTCCACACCTTAGACTTAGTCCTCTGCAAAGCTTACAGGACCCATTTCCCAAGGTCCTCACACACCTTGAGTGAGCGCTTATATAGCAGAAAAAAATCGCCAATTTCTTCTAGGGATGGTTTTGGGTGAACATGCCATACTTTTCGCAATGAGCAGAGAATAACTGGTGCTTTTTCTCAGACCCTTGTTTTGTTGAACCTGTTATTAACAAAGGCTACAAAGATTGGTCTCAATATCAAATGCCTCATGGAGGCCTAGAGAGAGCTGAGCCAGAGCCTGTGTTTAGTCACAAGAGTTTGGAAGGAAATAAATTAAATAGTAGAATCCTGTGGAATCAGCCCAGGAAACAGACCTGAATTTGCAGATGGCTCACATTGCTTGTGAGAATGAAGCAGCTGACACAGGCAGTAGAGCAAACATGGTATGGAAATTACACTCAGCACACAAGACACCCGTGTTCTGCCTCACACAGCGCTGTCTGACTAAATACCTCCCTGCCGTAGATCTGAACTGATAAGTAAGTGGTATTATACACCCACCTAATAGATGACAATCACCTACAGTCTGTATCAAAGTGTTCATCTTCATCAGGATCTTGAGGGGATTAAATTTAATGTGCCCGTTACAAGTAAATTCTCATGAATAAACAATATTTTACAATGCTGAAGGCCACAGAGGAGCAGGCATAGAAGAAATTGCAATCATCCTGGGTTGCACTGGGATAGGTATTCTGTCTTTTTGTCTCTCCTCCTTCTCAAGACCTTTACTGACATAGATGTCGATTCTTTGAGAAAATTACTTTTTGGACAAAACTTAGTTTTTCAGGTGAATAAATTAAAATGCACTACCTATATCTTGAAAGGGAGTTACTACATTTTTTTCTCTTGATTTGTGGAATACTATCGTGAATTTTAGCCTCACCTCAAAAGAGTCTAAATTTGAGTTCTGATACATGCACTCTATCTGCCCGATCATTTTGGTTAGGGGTCTGACTTGCTGAGTTAGCTTGACTTCATTTTCCCGCAGTTTCTTCAAGTTCTCTCTCTCCTCCTTGTCTAGAAGCTGCAGCTGGAGCTGCTCCTCTTCCTTCAGGAACTGGTGCATTTTCATATATTCTGGCACGACGACCTGCTTAAAAGTCTTTGTCTCTTCCTGCCATCACCCACACACACACACACACGCACACGCACACACACACACACACACACACACACACACACACACACACAAGAGTAAAGTTAGGAACAGAAACAGCCGGGCCCAACCCAAAGACCTCTCATCTTTACAGAGTCCTAAGGCTCTGCTGTGACCCTTCCTGAAGCCTGAGGTGTATCATGCACCCTCTACTGACTCGCTGGGTGAAGAGCCTGATGGTTTTAAAGGTGAGTGTGCTACAGATACGATCATAAACAAAACCAAAATATCTATTCCCGGGAGCTGCCATTCTCCTGGAAGAAGCCAAAAATAAACACAAAAGTACAACAGGTGGTGATCGATACTATTACTTTATAAATAAAGCCAAATTGAATAAGAAGAAAAATTATGAAAATGTATTTATTCAACAAATATTGAATAATGAAAATAGACATTGGATCACTTGCTCGAAATAAAAACGTACATTACAAATAGTCACTCTTAACAACTCAGATACCCACATTTTTATATCTAATTAAATATATGGTTCTTTCCTTTCACTGTGAGGCAGTATAAATCGAAATCCATGACTAATTTTAGGCATTTGTTCAGATATAATTCCAACTACTATTTTGCTTTTATATTCCTCTCTGTTTCCTTTTAATTTGCATTGTCTATTTTCTCCAAAGCATTTGTGATAATCCTTTTTAAACATTGATTGCCATCGTATGCTGTATGTCTATAAATGTAACTAGTATTTTAAATAAATATAATTTGAGGAATAATGGAGGTATCTTAGGTACACAAAGAAGGAAAATATAAGTCTGTCTGGCATGGGTAAATTTCAGTTGAATCGTGAGATTCCCAGGTTTGCAAGCAGAGGGTAACAGCCCAAAGCAAGGAAGTGCACAGTACAGGGTTAGGGCTGGCAAAAATATCCTCTTTCCCCTCTATAGCCCACTAGGTATCCCGTTTGTACCCTTTACCCCACAGAATCACATACAAGATCCAATCTAAGACTGACACTGACCTTACACAGTATCATTCTCTCCTTCTCATGTGTCAGGACAGCTTGAGCTTCCTTTTTCTTTTTACGCAAAAGATTTAAGATTTCTTGGAGTTTCTCCTGCAATAGAAACAAACTCTAGGGCACGTGAGCTGAACACTGGGTCCTGCAGAGACATTGAAAACCGATAACCAGAAATGGCTGGGGGCTGGGACTCTAAAGCAAAAGGTAAAAATAAGATCCGTACAAGGTTTGCTCTGGTGTTGGTGATGAGCACCTACGATTGTCACTGATGGAGAATATTTGGTACTTAGGGGCTGGAACATGATTTGTGTTCTAAGATTTATATTTAAAGCCCATCTTACTTTGTGTTGCTCCTCAATCTCGCTGGAGAGATGCACTCTGTTTATTGCATGACTTTGAGCTGACAAAGTGGAGACACTCTGCTCATCATCAGAGAATATACGAGTGGCTGCCACCACCCTTCCACAGCTGCCTGCGTCATCCTCACTCTGCAGAACCTGAGTTCTGAGCTGCCTGCCTATGCTAGCCAGCCTCCCCAAGTCGCTCATTGGGCTGGAAGTGAGGGCCCCCCAATGTCCTCCAGCATTCAGGACAAGACAACGGTGTGTTATGCTCCTCCCAGTTCTTGAGGAGACACATCAGACAAAAGCTGTGCCCGCACTCAGTGGCCACTGGGCTGCTGAAATAGTCCAAGCAGATGAAGCAAGTGAGTTCTTCCCTCAGAGTCTCCATCAGATCTGCTGTAGACATTTTCTCAAGGATGGACATCAGAGTAAGGCTACACGTCTATTCTGGTGTTAGAGAAGTCTTCTCTGTAGTTCTGTTTTGAATAACACATTGCTATGCTGTTATTATAAGAAACTCTTACTCTACTCTTGGCCTGATTTCACCCGTTGACCTGGCTCCTAACATAAAGGCAATTATGACTTAATGTGGAATCCTTTACACTGGGTTCACCATCAACCACAAACTTTTATTGAATCTCTCTCAATGCAAGCACGCACAAGATACTAAGGATATTTGCTCCTAACAGATTTTCATTTTGAGATTTGGTTATTGCATACATATAGCACCATGAAATTATTTAAATACATTGGTTTGGGGCTAAAAGTTTGAGTCATTTGGTAAATTTGAATGTCTAACAATATCTGACTTGAAAATATTGTCTAAATATTTTGAGAAACTTCATGAGTGGAACCTAGTTGAGAACTCATTGAATAAGACTGTAATATCTATTCCTTTTCTCTTTAAGCCATTTTCTTTGCTTGACCCAAGGCCAATTCCTCTGCTTCTTTATCAGGCATTGTGTATTACTGTTTAATTTTATTCATCCTGGACCAGGGATTTAGCTCAGTGGTTCTGCTGCCTGTCTCACAAGCACAAGGACCTGAATTTGATCCCAAGTACCAAAAAAGAAAGAAAGAAATTTTATTCATCCTAGCAGAAGAGAACTATTCCACTGAAATATTCCTTGACTTTAGATTCCTAAAGTTATGGTCACCTATCTGCCATCATGGCAAACATCTAAAATGACATTCTTCTCGGGAGCCACCTCTGGAGATTATTACACTATATACTGGATGTAAAGAATAATATTTTAGTATAAATACAGTTTGGCTCAATTCTTTTCACCCTTTCAAAATGTCCAAAGTAGGTATTCTCAAATTCCTTACCTATTAATTCTTACTAGACCAAAAAGAAATGAGTGTTTTTCTTAGACCTATGAAAAAGTAAATGTATACAGTACAAATATTGTGTACAATGAAAAGTGTGCTTCCTGCCCAGTACTATAAGTTTACCACGCCATGTGCACGTGAATCTGTTCTTGTCATAACCCACCTTCCACGTACTCTATGCCAGGAAGTGTGATCTTAACAGCTTTCCTCGGGTCTCACCGTTTGACCCTCCCACTAAATTCATCACAATACTTTTCTGTCATAATATTTCACCTGTCATCTCAAGCTCCATGGGCCTCCATCACTGAAGTTATCAGCTTTATTTTTTTCCTGACATTCAAGGCATCAACTGATCCTTCTTTCCCAGGATATTGGGTGTTTGTTTATTTTTAATCATCTTAACTTTTGATAAAAGGAAGTTTTCTGCCCCAAAATGCTTCTTATTCTACCTTTCTTCATCCTAGCCAAAACTTGCCTTAATGAACTCATTGATCGAATGTGTTTTAAATATATTTCCCTTGCACAGTATTTGTAAATTAACTGGGGTTAGAATATAAATTAAGGAAAAGAAACCATCAGATGGAAGAGTTGTATTGTTTTTTAAAAGGGCGTGAGGTAGCTTTGATTGCTTAGTTTGTTTCTGGGCTATGAAAGGGGCATAACAGCAAAATATTGCTTGAAGTTAATCTTACTTAAAGGTCTTCAAAAAAGCCCTACAGTGACTCAAAATGCTACCAATGGAATAAGGATTTATGAACTACCACCTTCATGAAGTGTGTTAGTCCCACACCAACCCAGGAATCCTTAACATTGAGCAGAATCGTTAGAATAACCCTAACAGTAGTGTACATCACAAAGCTGGCGTTCCAATTTGGAATAGAGAAGCACACACAGTCTCCAGTCAGATCTTGTTGAGCTATTCCATTCTTCTTCTTGTAATGTTCGTAACATAGTAATTTTCTCATAACACAATACTTGTCTTATTCATCCATGACCACAATGATTTTTGGCACAAAAAAAGGACTTGACTTCTCTGTAAAAATGTTTTAAGTTAACAAAAAAGAAGGACCAAAGTATTACAAGATCATCGTCATATATGTAGCTTGAAGCTAAGAGATATATAGTCCAACTAGCTTCTACAGATGATGAAGGAAGCTGAGACTCAAATAAATTGAGTTGGTCTCCCAAAATTTAGGTCTGATCAGGACTGAAAATTAGGTGTCTGACCTGCCAGTCATTCTCTTTTGTCAACATACTGTACTGCACCTCATTTGGTTTGTGCATATTTGAAAATTTCCAGTTATCTCAAAGAAATAAATCTAGCTTCACTGTTGTCAGAAGGAAATTGTACAGCTATCATGGCATGAAGGCTACCTTCAGTGGCAATACTCTTAGGAACAGACTTCTCTGCCATCTTCTGAGCACACTGACTAGAGCGAATTCATAAGGGAAATAAATTCACAGAGTTAGTCAGCTTTCCTCAAATACATTTCCTCAACCCTCAAGGCCCTACATTGCTGAACATGATTTCTGAGATCAACAACTCATGTAGCTTCTTCTTTAGCCTGTTCCTCGTGAGAAGGTGAGGGTATGGGTATCCCCGGGTCCCACAGTAACAGCTGTCGCCCAGATGTTGATAAGGTTAGGACACCAAAGAGAGGAGCTTCAAGGATATCTCAGGACTCATTTATTGATAGGAGGCAATGTTAAGATGGAGGCTTATTTGAAAATTATCTTGCATGAAAGCCTGGTTTTAAGACTATATTTGTCATTTCCTATTAGTGCGGAAAAAGATTAGGTAATAGATGGTTTAGAACTAGTAGGGATAGGCATCTGGAAAAAAAATTTAGATCTTGAACAACTCATCCCAGTGTGGGTTCCAGAAGGAGATGTGTATGTGTCTGTACATTCCTCCCTAGCTATGATTTTCTACTTATATTACTTACTTTCATTTCATTCTTTCACCTTATTTATTATATTACTTTATTTTTGTATGATTTTGTTCTAGATTACCCCACTTCTATTTAGCAACTAAGAAGCATAATTATTAATCATGTGGCCAAAGAATAGAGCAAGTCATGAGGGGTAATAACACAGGGCTGGGGATTTGTCTCAGTGGTTCTACCACCTGTCTTACAAGCGCAAGGGCCTGAGTTCAATCCCCTGTACCAAATAATAATAATGATGACGATAATAATAATTGGTAACACAACAGGAATTTAAAATGGACTACTTAGGCCAGGCATGGTGGCCTATAATCCCAACACTCAGGAGGCTGAGGCAGGAGGGACGCTATGAGTTCGAGACCAGCCTAGGTAGTAACTTCCAGATCACTATGTAGTCTTAACTACGTAGTGAGAGCCCATCTCAAAAAAACAATAGATAAATAAATAAATAAAATGGATGACTTAGGAGAGGTGTTTTAAAGCATGGCTGCAGAACTCAGACACCAAAAAGATAAGATTAATAAATTTGAATTGTTACGTATATCTAAAATGTATCGATAAATGTTTTGCTAAAAAAAAAAAGGAAAAGAAAAAAAAAATAAATCAAAGATTTCCATACAGCAAGCAAAACAAACACCTAAATGAATTTTTTGAAATGGCAACCTGAGAAAGAGAATATGTAACAGGTATCAAATAAGTAATCTTACATTATAAAGATGTCATACATGAATGTGTATTTAAAACAATATTTCTTAATGTTACTATGTATCCATTTGAAAGACAGTAAATTCATCTGGGTATGGTGGCACACCTAAAATCCAGCACGTTGGGAGCTGAGACAGAAGAACCACAAATTTAAGCACAGTCTAGGGAAATCAGCAGCTTAGTGAACTCTTATTCAAAAAAAAATTTTTTTAAATTTGAGATATAGTTCAGTGCAAATGCCTTGGGTTAATCCCCAATACAAAAAACAAACAAACGAACAAATAAACAAAAAAAACCAGTTAACTAGACTGCCATATGAAATCCATTATAAGGGGTAAAATGCATTTTGACCCCCAAACAGTTTAGGTATGAATAATGAAAATTTTATTTTTCATATTTTTTCCTACAAAGATTAAGTCATCCTATGGATGTTGATGACCACATCAGGACTAGAAAACTAGATCTCTTACCTCCTGGTTCTTCTTTTCTGTCAACACACTACACTGCATCAATATGTTTATAAAAGGATAGAAAAAGTATGGAACTTCAAGGGTGTGACCACACAGCACAGGGATCCAAAGCAAAAATTGAAAAGTGGGATGATATCAACCTAAAACACTTCTGCACAACAAAGGAATGATCAATAGAGTAAAAAGGTTACCTATGGAATGAAAAAAAAAATGCTCAAACTATATATCAGATAAGGGGTTAATTTCCAAAGCATATAAAGGATTCTAACAATTCAATGGCCAAAAAATCCCCAAAACAATTCAATGGCAAAATAATCCAATGTTTAAAAGTACTAATTATTTGAATAGGTATCTCTCATTTTCCTCAAAGAATACATAAAAAATGACAACAGGTATATGAATAGATGCTCTACATCAGTAATTATCAGAAAATTGCAAATAAAAAAACCACAAAGATGGATCATCTCATGCTTTTTAGGAAAGCTCTTATTTAAAAAAGGATAAGGCATTTTAGAGATACTGTGGAGAAACTGGAACCCTTCTATACTGTTGATGGAATCACTGGAAAACACATGGAAGGTTACCCAAAGCGTAGAAAGTAAAGCTGTTATACAAATCCAGAAATCCTACTATTCTATGCTCAAGAATTGCAATCAGTTTTCATCAATGATTCATGTTCATTTTCAGCACTATTGACAACAGCCAATGTGTGGGAGCAATAAATATGTCCACCAGTGAATGGATAAAGAAAACGTGATGCACAGATACCACGGAATATTATTTAGCTTTAAAAAGGGTGGAAATTCTGTCATGTGTTACAATGTGGACTTACAAAAATGATGCCATACTGAGCAAAATTGGCCAGTAGCAGAAGGATGAATCCTACCCGATTCCACTGACACGATGCATCTAAAATAGTCAACTTCTCAGAAGCAGAAAGTAGAGTGGCAGCTGCCAGGGGTGGGCAGGGG